AGTCTGTGTTATGTGTTTCCTGTTTTACTTTGAAAGTCCATGTCTGATGTTAATGTGTCTGGTTTTGCTTCCTCTTGTCTCGTTAGGCCTGATTTGCCCCAGCTGTGTTTCCCTCCTGTTACCCATTCCCTGATTGCTCCCTCTGTGTATTTAAGCCCTGTGTTTCTCTGTGTCCGTGTCGCGATCTACCGTTTACCAAGCTGTGTGTTCTGGCCGTCCTCTGGTATTAGTTTGTTTTTTGATCATTTCCAGTTATGTTATAATTGAGTTTAACATTAAAACGGTTTTTGGGTTTACATCTGTCTCTGGAGTCTGCACCTTGGGTCCTATTCCTGCCTGCACACAGCCACACCTAACAGAAGATCGCGACCAGAACATGGACCCCGCAGACTCTTTTTCCTCGGAGTACAACACTGAGATGGAGCGGATGGTGAGCCTGCTTGACCGCATCGCCCAGTCCCCTGATTTAGGACCATGGCAGTGGGGCTGAGTGCGGTGGAGGCCATCATTCGGTTTAACCCCCGGCTTAGCCAGTTTGCTAAGGACACTAAGTTGGACGACACCATTACTGCCTGGAGAGAGCAAGTCAAGGCTGGTGAGCTTGCTCTCTCTCTCTCTACATCTTCCCCACCGTTACTCCAGGACTACACACACTTTCCTTCTGTTTTAGCACTGCCACGGACTTCCTCTCCCTCCCCACACCAGCTGGGTTCTCGTTCACCTGCCTTTTTCCTGGCAGCTATGTGGTCAGAGGATGAGGAGGAGGTCTCTTTTTCTCCACCGGTTCCTGTTTCCTCATCCCGAAGGAAACGGCGTTCTGGCCGCCGCCACAACAGAACTGTTGTGCAGTTTGACTCTGGACATTCTGACATCACACCCACTTCCTCTGTTCTGCAAACTGGTTCTGCTGGAGGGCCCGAGGAGCCCGTTCAGCCACCTGTCTCCGCTGGAGGGCCCGAGGAGCCCGTTCAGCCACCTGTCTCCGCTGGAGGGCCCGAGGAGCCCGTTCAGCCACCTGTCTCCGCTGGAGGGCCCGAGGAGCCCGTTCAGCCACCTGTCTCCGCTGGAGGGCCCGAGGAGCCCGTTCAGCCACCTGTCTCCGCTGGAGGGCCCGAGGAGCCCGTTCAGCCACCTGTCTCCGCTGGAGGGCCCGAGGAGCCCGTTCAGCCACCTGTCTCCGCTGGAGGGCCCGAGGAGCCCGTTCAGCCACCTGTCCTCCGCTGGAGGCCCGAGGAGCCTGTTCAGCCTTCTGACATGCAGCTCCGCCTGGTCCGGCCTCCGCGTCTGCGCTCCGCCTGGTCCGGCCTCCGAGTCTGCTGCTCCGCCTGGTCCGGTCCGCCTCTGCAGCTCCGCCTGGTCCGGCCTCCGAGTCTGCAGCTCCGCCTGGTCCGGCCTCCGAGTCTGCAGCTCCGCCTGGTCCGGCCTCTGCTGCTCCGCCTGGTCCGGCCTCTGCTGCTCCGCCTGGTCCGGCCTCCGAGTGTTCAGCTTCGTCTGCTCCTGAGGTCTCCATGCTGTCTGTTCCTGCACGTCCCGTCCGGCCTGCTCGTCCTGCACGTCCTGCACGTCCCTCCGGCCTGCTCGTCCTGCACGTCCTGCTCGTCCCGTCCGGCCTGCTCTGTCCTGCACGTCCTCTCCGGCCGATGACTGGACGTCATTGCTGTCATGGACGGCCCCCTGAACTGCTCGGTCGCCGTCGGTGCCTCCCGCCTGGCCGGCCTCCTGATCTGCTCGGTCGCCGTCGGTGCCTCCCGCCTGGCCGGCCTCCTGATCTGCTCGGTCGCCGTCGGTGCCTCCCGCCTGGCCGGCCTCCTGATCTGCTCCGTCGCCGTCGGTGCCTCCCGCCCGGCCGGCCTCCTGATCTGCTCCGTCGCCGTCGGTGCCTCCCGCCCGGCCGGCCTCCTGATCTGCTCCGTCGCCGTCGGTGCCTCCCGCCCGGCCGGCCTCCTGATCTGCTCCGTCGCCACCGGTGCCTCCCGCCTGGCCGGCCCCCTGAACTGTTTTCTGGGCTCTTGGGCCGTCAGCCTCCGGGCCGCCCCCCTGAACTGCCCGGGTTTGGAGGGTGGGAACAGGGCAGACACAAACACTGACTGAACACGGGGATATGGGAACTTAAGATACACATAGACACGAACTAGACAAGGGGATGCAGGTGATAGGGGAGACATAAGCCATAAGACGGAACTCAAAGAAACCAAAAACTAGAAAGTATAAATAATAACATAAACTCAAACACCCTGGGTCAACGACCCAGGCATCCTAACAATAACGGTTCATTTCTATCTGAGCCTTTTCCTCCAGTGTGCAATTTGGCAATTAGTTTGTCCAAACACAGAAATCAGTCCGTGCATGATTACATTGCTCCTCCCATCAAAAAGTCTGGACATGCGTGAATATATTGCCTATCGTCGGTTATTGGACTGACAATTGTCACTTGGAAAATTTTTACATGTTGCCCAACCCTAGCGGGACCTGATGTAAACTTTTCGATACTTTAGCCCAGTGGTTCCCAAACATTTTTTGTTAGGCCCCCCTTTGTATTACAAGAAAAATCTTCCGCCCCCCCACCACCCAACCACACACACCCATATTTTGAGGTGTGAAATAACCTCCATCGTGGTTTATTTCACACCTCAAACATTTAGTAAACAATTAAGCAGATACAAGTAAACTGCAATAAATTACACGTAGCAATGAAATAAACTTCTAATTCTTTTACACTACGTCCACACCTACATGGTATTTTTGAAAATGCAGCTGATTCTATGCGTTTGGGCCTTTCGTCCACACGTAAACGGCATTTTGAATAAACGAAAACGGCGATGTTTTAAAACTCAGTTTTTGCGTTACGTGTGGACGAGGAATACAGAGTTTGTCATGCAATGTCAAAGGTATGTGCCTTTTTTCACGTCACACTGTGCGCCACGTTATTGTTTGCATGAGATGAATTTCTACAATGACAGATAGAGACAAAATACTGTTACTGTTAATCTTACTATCTTCAGTTTTTACATGCTTACAAATACACACACACACAGTTACTGTCCCTCCATTTAGAAAGGCAGAGGCGTCACGGCGTCATTATTTTACGTGTAGTTGTTTTTTCGTTTGTAATAATATTCAACATTGCTATCAATAAATTTTTCAAAAATGCCTCTCTGTGCAAAATGGGTTTAAAAACATAAACAACTGTGGGATACTGTGATTTGGACAGGGAGAACAAATTGTGGCAGGATCAGCCTGATATTATTTGTATCCCACTGTAACTTTACTGTATAAAGAGCTAACATCTCCAAAATGTCAGGAGTAGTTATTTATTACAAGAAGTGTTTGTGAACTCCACGCAACATTGTAGAGGCGTGGAGATCAGGACTGGCAGACCGGGGTGGTGGTCCCCATCTTTAAGAAGGGGGACCGGAGGGTGTGTTCCAACTACAGGGGGATCATACTCCTCAGCCTCCCTGGGAAAGTCTATGCCAGGGTGCTCGAAAGGAGAGTTCGTCCGCTAGTCGAACCTCGGATACTGGAGGAACACTGCTGTTTTCGTTCTGGTCGCGGAACACTGGACCAGCTCTTTATCCTCTCAAGGATACTTGAGGGTGCATGGGAGTTTGCCCAACCAGTCTACATGTGATTTGTGGACTTGGAGAAGGCATTCGACCGTGTCCCTTGGGGTGTCCTGTGGGAGGTGCTGCGGGAGTATGGGGTGTCTGGCCCATTGCTACGGGCCATTCGATCCCTATACAACCATTGCAAGAGCTTGGTTCGCATTGCCGACAATAAGTCGGACTCGTTCCCGGTGGGTGATGGGCTCCACCAGGGCTGCCCTTTGTCACCGATTCTGTTCATAATTTTTATGGACAGGATTTCTAGGCGCAGCCAAGTGGCGGAGGGCTTTCACTTCGGTGGCCTCAGAATCTCATTTCTGCTTTTCGCAGATGATGTGGTTCTGTTGGCTTCATCGGGTGAGGGCCTCCAGCTCGCACTGGAACGGTTCGCAGCCGAGTGTGAAGCAGCGGGAATGAGGATCAGCACCTCCAAATCTGAGGCCATGGTTCTCAGCCGGAAAACGGTGGAGTGCCCACTCCGGGTCGGGGATGAGTTCCTGCCCCAAGTGGAGGAGTTCAAGTATCTCGGCGTCTTGTTCGCGAGTGATGGGAGAAGGGAGCCGGAGATCAACAGACGGATTGGTGCGGCGGCTGCAGTGATGCGGACGCTGCACCAGTCCGTCGTGGTGAAGAGGGAGCTGAGTGTAAAAGCGAAGCTCTCAATTTACCCGTCGATCTAGGTCCCTACCCTCACCTATGGCCACGAGCTGTGGGTAGTGACCGAAAGAACGAGATCGCGGATACAAGCGGCGAAAATGAGCTTCCTCCGAAGGGTGGCTGGCCTCTCCCTTAGAGATAGGGTGAGAGGTTCGGCCATCCGGGAGGGGCTCAGAGTAGAGCCGCTGCTCTTCCACATCGAAAGGAGCCAGCTGAGGTGGTTCGGGCAAGGATGCCTCCTGGGCGCCTCCTGGGGTTGGTGTTCCTGCCTACTCCCGGTGGGCATGTCCCACCGGGAGTAGGCAGACCCAGGACACGCTGGAGAGATTATATCTCTCGGCTGGCCTGTGAACGCCTTGGTGTTCCCCCGGATAAGCTGGAGGAGGTGGCTGGGGAGAGGGAGGTCTGGGCTTCTCTGCTTAGGCTGCTGCCCCCGCGACCCGGCTTCGGATAAAGCGGATGAAGATGAATGGATGGATGGATGGTGTTTGTGAACTAAAAATAAAAAATGTGGGATACTGTTTGTCTGTGATTTGGAGAGCCCAGCGCGTGCTTCCAATGCAGGGAAAACTAATTCTATTGCAGAGACCTACCTTGGCACTTGTGCAGGTGAAGCCAAAGGGAAGATATGCTTCATCATATTTTCTAGTCTTTGGATTGGAAGGAGGTTGGTTTGGAAACATATTTGGCGATGCTTCATCTCCTGCTTTGCGTTTGTGTGGGAGCCTAGTCAAAAATCTGTTCATTATGCTAGCAGTGTCCAAGCATTCTTTTTTTTTTCTCTTTTCATACCGCGCCCCCCCTGCAATAGCTCTGCGCCTCCCCAGGAGGCGGGCCCCACACCTTGGGAACCTCTGCTTTGGCCAATCCGGTTCAAGCTACTACCAATGAGCAGGACATTATTCTGGGTCAAGCAAAGGTCTGCAGGAAAGAAATCTGTGAACGTCTGATCCAAGGCAAAAGTGCCATGAGACCCATGAGGGAAGCAAACAAAATAAAATGATGGAGCTCAGACGTGTGTTGTTTTGCAAAGAACTGACCTCCCTGTGTTTTACAGAAAAAAGTAGCTAAGGCCATTTTTCTCTCTGTTCTGGATTATGGCGATATGATTTATGGGCATGCCTCTGCAGCTGCTCTTAAGGCCCTCGATGCTGTTTATCCTTCTGCCCTCGGGCCCCGGCTTACAGTCATCATCACTGCATCTCAGATGGAAAAGCTGAATGGTGTTTTCTGTTTAAAGACGTGATGATTGTTTACCATTCTATATTACCTTTATGATAGAACAACTGCGGGTCCACTCACTGGTGCCCACCAAGAGGATGCTCTTGTAGCTCTCAGAGAATTAAATAACATTTCACCTTCTAGTCATACCTGACTACCTGAAATAATCCTACTCAGAAATCTGATACCATCAGGCCTCCATAGACTAATGCTTTACACGTTCACCTGACAAGCAAGAGCTCACAGATGGATTTGTGACCCCACCCCCCAAACGCATTCCTGGTAATGGGATTAGCTTTGCCATGGTTTTGTAATGTGTGCAACTATAGCTATGTCTTGCGAACAGATGTGTGTTGCAGGCCAAGTGATGAAATCCTCAATCATCAGTCCACCTTAAGTCAGTGTAAATAAAATAAAGAAATATATTAACAAAATGACAGGCAAAATGTTAAATCAACAGATGATGCAGGTCTTTCCACAGGTGAGTCATGGTGACATCACAGTCGTCATCATCATAGCTACTGTAGTAATAGATTTATTCAGCATCTCTAACCATATCCAGGTTTTTATTCTGTGCCTCACTTTCTGATAATTTGTAAGTTTCCTTCTTCTATTAAGGTGCTTCCACTCACCTCCTTCACATTCACAGTGAACATAATAACAGGTGGGAGGAAACCTCTGAGAGTCTCTGTCACCCCACTTTGTTCCTCCTGGGTGAGTGTTTCTTCTGCAGCCCTCAAAGAACGAATAATGAAAAGAATGCCAGAGGAAAAGCTTTCAGGAAAGACTCCAGTCCTCCGTCTCTGGACTCGGCACTCTCCACCCACAACCAATTTTCTGTCCCTCAGCTCATTACTCATTTCCACCCTTCCCTTCAACACCTTCCCGGCAGCTCTCGGAGGATCTGCCGGGCAGAGATACTCACTGGAGAGTCTGCAAAGTGAAACCTGGATGCTGCCGTCAATCACAGCTCTCCTAATTAAGCCACAGGCTGCTGATTTACTCAAGTGACTCACAAAGACCATATTTAAGACTAAGTGAAAGACTCTGTATCAGACTATAAAAGCAGCGTCACGCAGGAGTGAACTACGTGTAATTAGCAATTTAAACACATTTCCAGAGCATGCTGCTATTTCAGAGACCATTTCACTTCTGACTCTTTTCTCTTTCTGTGCCCTGAACAAAAGGATCGACAAAATATTTGCAAGAAAAGAAACGATTACTGGCTGTTGCTGGAATGCAGGTGGGCACGTTACAGAAACCAAAACCAGAGTGAGGCAACAAACTAAACCATAAACCCTCAGAAACACAATGACAAGTAAAGATTTCATCACATATTAAAGACTACATTCAGGAGTGAAGACGCACTTCAGAGGATGTGACAGCATTATTTCTGAAAGTTAGCATCACACAGTGACAGAGTCTTCGCCCATCTACATGAACTTTAATAACAATTAAGTAAATCTTTGACTAAAAACACACAAATAACCTCCGCGGTGGAAGCATTGCAGTCTCGAGAGGAAAACCCTTCACGAAAATATGTAGAAATGTCTGGAAGGTCTCCTGAACACAGCGCTGAGCCCAGCAGTGAGCAGAGATTAGACTGAAATTTACAGAATTAGGCCTAAAGACAAGACTCAGGTCTAAATGTAACACTAAGGACTAGATGATCTATGTGAGGCCCTCAGCGACCCCAACCTCTCATTTCCAAAACAAAAGATATTTCGTTGTGTGTTAGTTTCAAGGTTTATTTTTTATTAGCAGCCAAAAATCCAATAATCTGACAGGACTAATCCTGATTAGGTTGGAATTTACTGATGATTATTTAGGCCAGAATAACACATAAAGACTTGGCTAAAATCTTTAGACTGGATTAAACATGTAAGAATGAAAATCAGACTAAAGACCAAGTTTGATACCGAGAACTAATTTTAGCATGAATCAGATTAAAAACCTAAGAGTAGATTAAAGATCTCAAACTGGATGTCTGCTGCACACTTTAGTTTCACTCCTGTGTTTGTAGATTTTCTGTGTGTGTGATGTAACAGTCATTGTAAAATTTGTATTATTATTATTACTATCATTATTATCATTATTTCTTAGTGACATTTTTGTTGTTGTTGTTGTTGTTGTTCTTATTATTATTATTATCATTATGTAGTTAAAGACTGGCTCCTCTGATGACCACAGCTCTGAGTTTTGAACCTGTCTCCTAAATCAACCTCTCCAGGCACATAAACACAGGCTGAACCTCATACTGGGAGAAACTTCGGAGCCTTTTCAGTCTCACCTGTTCTTCCTCCTGACTTCTATTATAAGTTTTAAGCTGAAAAGCCAACACATCCCCTCCTGCCCGTCATGCATGAACGAGACAAACAGTGCAAGAGAAAATCTTTTGTTCAGTGTCACATGAAAGAAAAATATAGCTGGAAGCCAGAACTACAGGAGCACAATTTCTATAAACCCATCAGAAGCAGGATGTAATTAAGCGAGCAGCAGATGAACTTTCCTGTGAGAAACCTTTTAAAGCTTCTTTGTAGTCACGCTGACGTTCCTAGCAATCTGCACAGACTGCTGCCATGTTCAAATCATTTTTAAGATTCATGACTCAAGGCTGCGCGCCACATCAAGCCATTTACCTGCACCCTTGAAATCCTGCTCATTAGCTGAAAGTGCACAAACACTGTTTGAGTTTTTAACTTTGAGTTGTCACCTTGTTCAAGGTTTGGAGAGGACTGTAGTCTCTGATGCGACAGCTTTGTAGCACTGATCATCATCCCTCATACCCACTAAAAAAAACATAACTATTGATTCAATTCAATTTTATTTTCAATTTTATATATAGCACCAATAAAATAGTCACCTCAAGGTGTTTTAATACTGTAAGGTAAAGACCCTACAGGATTACAGAAAAATCCCAACAATCACATGACCTCATGTGAGGAAGTACTTTGGCAACAACATGAAGGAAAAACTCCCTTTTGACAGGAAGAAACGCATTAATGCAGCGTTAACATGGTCATCACGATTAAAATTTTTAACGCGCTCAACCCATCTGGAGCGCAGAATGAACAAACTTTTGGACAAACTGCCCGATATGCATTGACAGAGACATTTCAGGGATTTTGACTCAGTAGGGTCGGATTAACAATGAGGGTTAATTGTTCATTTCTGTTGACTGCTTCTATTAGCTCCATCATTATTAGCAAACTTACTGATGGGCAAATAAATCTCCCCTGTAAAAACGATAGTTAATATATTCGTCCAATCGCCCAACCCTAATTCATCCAGGTGTCCATCATCAGGCTAAGTAACCAGGTAATCCTCAAACATCTCACCAAACCTGGACACCCATCTTCAGTACCTCCCCAAGAGGCTTCCAGCTCTTCTGAAAGAGGACGGCAACTTCTGCCAAATACTTTCAAGTCATTCAGATGCACAGTCGCCTCTACTGAGGCTCTGTGTTGGAAACTTGATAGTTTCTGAACTCTGCAAGCTTTACCTTTAAGTGTGAAGTCATGGCTCCTGTTTCTTTTTCCTCTGCTTTTGTGCAAGCTGGGCCCAGTTGAGGACTGACTTTCAGTTCCACCTCCTCTCAGGGTCCAAACTGGACATATTCTGTGACAGCTAGCATTGTAATTTTCACGCTCAGGTCCTGTCTTTGAATAAACACAGTGTTTCTGGTCATCAGCCTCTAGCAGGGCTGGAGGATTGATCAGATTATAATTTGGCTTTTAGAGATGATGGAAACAAGGCAAGCTCATTTAATTTTTTCTAATAAACCAAACACTCCTGTTGCCCCTCCCTAAAAGTCATTCACTGTTGGTTTAGCTTGAGCTAAAAGTCACTAGAGAGAGATTTTAGTGAACAAGATCAGTGCAGAGGAAATAATAAAGGTTTGGAAGATCATTAAGAACTGCACATGACTCTGTCTCTGGATCTCAAAGCGTTTCTCACTGGTCCACGTTCAGCTGTGTGCGACCAAGATGTTTGATCGCCAGGTTAAGATGTGATGCTTTAATGCAAAAAGACTCTGAAACACACTGCAGAGCTCAGACACACAAACACAGCACGAAGGAAAGCCGTGTGAGCACGTGCAGTGTTAGTGGGTATAGATATTTGTTCTGCTGCGTGTCAGACAGCATGTTTGTGTTTCTGTACATTACAACTTTGTCAGGCTTAAACACACGGCCTGTGTGTCGCCGCACAGCATTGTGTGTGTGTGTGATGTGGAGACTTTGCTAGCTTTGCTGGCACTACAGAGACATCCTCAATGGAAAGGAGAACAAAGACAAAGGCTCTTAATGAGCTCTGCCACTGCCGAGACCTAAACTAGGCCAGCCAACGGGCTGTGTGCACGTGTGTGTGTGTGTGGCAGTGGGATGTGAACGAGCCACGGGCGTTATCCAGGTGACTGAGAACGCAGCAGCTCTGCAGCGAGCGAGCGTTTCATGTGAGCGGCTCGTTTGTTGTGCTAAAATTCCCAAAGAAGCATCTCGGAAAGCCGTCAGAGGCTCGTCTGTCGGCGCACCGCTGGAGCGCTCGCGATGGACACTTTAAAAGGATTAAAATCATTTTTAGGTTCCTCTGCAGAAAACCAAACAGCTAAACAAACACGCCGCCCTCCCTTTGTAAAATCACAAAGTCAGAGCTGACAAAGTTTGGAACACAGCCCCGGGTGAACCTCAGTGTTGCTGCAGGTTTATTTGGACTGAGAGTTTTTGGGTTTTGCAGATTTCAGTGAAACATGGCAGAGGAAGGGACGCCTGACACCCACAACCATCACACTGATGGCTGTGGGGGTCTGTAGGCAGCCTGGGGTACAGTGCTCTGCTGTATGAACTGTGTTTCATATACACCTGACCTGGATGTGATGAAGTCACATGTCGAATACATGCTGTGAAACTATGCTACAGCTAACTGTCTGTTATTATAGAAACTAAATGGTAGTAAAGCATCTTTACTCTGAGCCTTTACACGAGATTTACCGATAGATAAAATCAACACTCTTTGACTTCATGTATTTACAGCTAACTACCATCTGGATTTTAAAAATCATTAACTGAGTCCACTTTGGGGGTCCATAAACACCAATCCCACTTTTGTCAACAGCCCAACTCACACTCCACCCAACCCCAGGCCCTCTGGGGCGGTGGGCTCACTGAGCAGCAGATCCATGTTATTCAGTAGGTGTCCAACCAAGCCTCATGGACCCAAAACCAGGCGCTCGATAGATGGTGGGATGGTTATCAATATCGGCCCTAAAACTCCAGCATCAATAATGAAATAATAGTTTGGTGAAATAAGAGTAATCTTAAAAAAATAGCACAATCATGAGTCGATCTGAACCAGCAGCTGGCCCAGGTTAAAGGTCACCCACTAATCAACATGATTGCAGCAATTTTGTCAAACAATCAGTAATAACTCCCTCAAACCTGACTGCACAGACACGATCCCATTGTCATTAGATTCAGGGTGGCTCGTGCTGCTGAGAATTTCACTACATCTACTGTCCATCACACATAAACAGCCAGAAAAACAACTCTGCCCAGGATGCAGAACCTGCAGAGATTGAGGGATCAGTGATGCTTCCCTGACAATCCAGAGGAGCATGAAGAATCCAGCCAATTCAAATTATACTGATGAAAAACAGCAGGGCTCGCACTGCAGACACAGTGTAACTCATCCATTCCCCATTCCTGTCAAATCTCTTCATACTCTGGTGATGATGTCTGAGCGTCTCCTGAATAAACACACTTCCTGTCACATCAGACTTCAGGCTGCTCCCCTGCACTCTCTCACGTCTTTAGCTGCTGTTTGCAAGTGCTCACTGAGTAAAACTTTCTCTACTTTCTGTCTGCGCTTCAGGCCAACAGACGACCTCAGCATGTGAAGAGAAGACCTGACATAAAAACACCAGCAAGCTGCTGTGCTCCATCGGCGGCAGCAGGAGGCTTTATTAGCTCTGGACAGGGCCCAGCATGAAAGGCTTACCCTCAGTCAGGCCCATGTGGATGCTCCAGTAGTTCTGCAGGCACTGCAGCTCCTTCTTCATGCCTCTCTTGCAGCGGCAGTCGTAGAGCGGCGAGTCCTGCAGCACCTCCAGCGCCCCCTGGCACTCCTTGGAGGCCAACATGGCGCTGCGCTCCTTGTCCCCGCCCGACAGGCACTGGCGCATGATCCGGTAACGCGAGCTGCACTGGCTGTTCTGGTTGCACAGCTCGGAGGCTCGGACACAGTCTAGAGGTTCCCTCCAGCCGGGGGTGCCGAGCTCCGAGTCACAAACGCACACATCTGCAGGAAAACAGGGAGAAGGCGGGAGTTAGACACAGAGGTGTTAGCTTCACTCACTTCCTGTTTACTTTTGTGATCATTTTATCTATTTGCAGTCATTTTGTGTCTCATTAGAGTCACCGTGTGTCTCTGCTCTGCTTTTTGTTAAATTTTTGTGTGTGCGTATGGTCTTTTTAAATATTTTTCCAATATTTTTGTCTCTTTGTAGTTTTTGGCGCCTGTTTACTGTCACTTATTGCTTCTTTGTGATCTTTTTCCACCTCTTTAACATAGCAAACTACCGTAATCAGTTCAAACAGAGCTCGTTTAAAACTAAATTTAAAAATATTAATGGGGCTGTTGGTCAGATAAACGTGCGTCTCTGCAGACTCAGGCAGGCTTTTCCTCTGGTGCAGGTGGAGGTGTGTCTGTATGCTATGCCTCAGTTTTTCAGCTGTAACTCAGGATTGCAGATTGAAGGCTCAGTGATGGATCTCGGATCGAGATGAGGTGATCTCCTGATAAGAAGCTGAGGATAAAGCCAGCACGTGTTCATAGAGCATCATATCATATATGTCTTCCTGTTGTAGGTTATTGTTGTTCCAGCGGCCGTTAGCTGTGACAGAAACATATGAAACTGAAATAGGAAACATTAGAAGGCATTGCGCGGATGTCCTCAAGAAAATATCCCACACTAATCCGGTTCGACATCTCCTCCAGGGCGCACAGACTCAGCTCCATCTGTGTCGAACGTGGCCTTTGTCAGGCAGTTCAACAGCTTCTGTCCAGCAGAGACAATAGCATGCGGGTGAATCCAATTAAGCAAGCATCACAGGGACCAGATAAATGAATGTTTACCTGTCGGCAGCCGCAGATAGCAGGTGTGTGCATTTCGTGGGATTTCGAGGGTTTTCAGAAACAGGAAGTGTGTGTGTGAGCTGCTGGAGTCATTATTTTAGAGACATAACATGCTGAACGCCAACAAACAACACGATCTGACGGTTAACCGGCACAAAACCAGGCAGGAGGGTAAAAGTAAACTATTACATTACATGCCGCTGGCATTTCACAGTCCCAAAAATTACCTATGATAACCAGAAGCATAATCATATAATAATTCTGTGAATGAATATAAAGGCTGTGTTATAGAGAGGAAACACGATGTGGAACAAACACACATTCAGATCTTTGTCCTTCAGTGTGCAAAGCACCATAGTCCTTCGAAATTAAAAGTGCAAAACGCTGTACTTCTCCTTCAAAATAAAAGTGCAAAGAGCTGCGGTTCTTCAAAATAAAAGTGCAAAGAGTAGTTCTCCTTCAAAGTAAAAGTGAAAGTGCTGCAGCACGCTCCTCCTTCCATTTTCCTCGTCCCTGGTACAGCTCCTGAAACCTCACATGTGGACCAGAAGCTGGGGATCATGGCTTTCACAGCAAGTAATCCAGACTATGAATGGTTGACCTCATGCTGTGGACAGATCATCTCACCCATTCTCTCGGCTGAAGTTTGATTCGTTTGGCATCTTCTTTGTGCCTTCTGCCCATTGAGGGACCTCAAAGTGAACTTTCATTTAGGAAGATTTTCACCCTTATCCTCCATCTTCTCTGTGTTTATACGAGCCTAACCACAGCTCTGCAGGTAACGACTGATATACCTCAACCTGCCCTCCAAATATTGCTGCTGTTCAGTTTTTTCTTTCTGTCTAAAGTTCTAGCAGGGAAATCCTTCAGTGAGAACATCTGGAGAACATCTTTGGACCATTTCTAACTGTCAGATGTGTTTCAGAGCTTCCTAATTCTGGGATTTGAAGAAGACAATCAGGTGCTTGAGCTGAACTTGTTTTTGTCCTTGCAGATGTTTGAGCTCTCATCTGAAAGGCTTTACAGTTCAGAAAGCTGACGGCCGTCCCAGAGTTTGAGGTGGTGAGATCAGCAATGATGACGTGAAGAGCAGTGCAAACTAAAGCTAAGCCCACCTCTCGAAGAGGCAGCTGTTTCTTACAGGTGAGCTGTCTGTAACAGCCAGGTGGACCGTTAACCCGTTACTCTCAACTAACCATGAACCTAAACTCTTTGTAATCCATGTGAAAACATTCATGAACGAGGCTGTTACTGTGGGTTCATCCACATCTTTATATGCTTTCTATGGTCTGCAGTGAATACTGATGTCCCACACAGGCTGTGGTCCCTGAAGTCCTCCTTAATCCTCACAATCACTCGAGGAGGCTCTTCCTGTTCACCTGGTCTAAGGAGAGCACTGTGGAACATAGCCACCTCAGAACCGGAGCTAGTGGAGCTGCTGGAGCTGGTGGACAATGCTACACCTTTAAGCTGACTGGACCGGGACTGACGCCTGAGACCTGAGACCTGAGCTGGCCTTCACTGAGTCTCCTATGATGAGTAACTGATGGAAGCTGTGGGACACTCTGCAGGCTCCCCTCATCTCACACTTTATCAGCACCTGACGCGATGCTTGCAGGGGACATCTGCACATTGTATCTGTAAAAAATAACCTGGATGACTCTCCAGACTTTCCTGTGGTTAGTGCTAGGTCAGTAGGGCACCAGGCGCCCCCTGCTGGAACAGTGGGACAAAATCCTGTGCTGCTCTCATGAAACGTGCATTTACACTCTGCAGAGACACAAAAAAAAAGGTGGCACGAAAAAACACGGCTCCACACTCTGTTTGTTCCACTGCAGACAGAAATGCTCCAGCACCACAAGCTTGTGTCACCCACCCCACAGCTCCACCTCAACAAGCTGCAACACATCAGACCAGCGCTCAGAACCAGGGGCAGAGGAACAGCTCCCACAGGTGAGGGCCACACAAAGAGCTAATTACTGGACCTCGGGGTAACGATGTGACCTTTCAGGGGTACGTGGATGTTTGTGCAGCAGTAAAAAGTTCAGATTAAAATATTCAGGATCAGAACAAAGGTTCCCGAGACCTGCTGTCCTCAGTCCTGGTATCAAGCATGGTAACAGCATCTTTTAGTAGAAGCTCACAGTAAGGCAGAGGTGTAGAAGTAGTCAAACCCCTGGGAGTACAAATAACTACACCCTGTCAGGGATAAAATGGCAGTACCTCAGAGAGTACTTCACCTGAAGATATTTCATTTACTGAATGTAACAAAGATGCTCTTTATGGCTCTGATGATCAATAGAAACATAATAGAAATCCAAACAGAATGTACAGCAGAGTACACACAGTACTCTGTACACCAAGTACTCTGTAAACACAGTACTCTGTACTATTCTAACACGTCACGGCTGGTACATGGGTCTGAGGGTAAGGGCGCGCGCTATTTGTCTGCGGAGATTTAAAAGTTAACTTCATGCACTGCAACATTTTCACTTGTAATGGAGTATCTCTGTGAGTATCCGAGTACTCCTGCTGACGGTTACTCGGTGTTTCAGAGCACGAGAGCATCTTTAGACCCAGCTGACTGACAGAGGCGCAAACCGAGCCTCTGCCCTCACCTGTGCGCGTGCACGCGGGCAGCGGAGGTGTACTCACCGAGCACGAGCAGCAGGCAGACGACGCCGATTAGGATCATGTCGCGTGCTGCTGTAATCCCACAGGAAGTCATGGTTCTCTCGCTCTGAGCGTCGGGGTCTCTCACTCTCTCTCTCCGCACATCACGCGGACTGCCACCGACATAGTGGCGCTAGCACGAACCCCGGACACGGTGGGATCCCCCCCTCCCACCCCGCCGTCCTGGGCTCACAGCAGCCCCGGCAGGGACGCAGAAGAAGACGAAGAAGAGTGGGAGTCCGGGCAGGAGCGCATGCTCCGGAGCGGCTCTCCCGGAGATGGAGCTCTGTCCTCGGTGAAGAACATCAGCTGCCCCCGATCACTCCGCAGCTGTACTCCAACTTTCCGGGCTCAATGTGACTCTGTCCGCTACTCTTCCTCCTCTTTGTCACACACACACACAGACACACACCGGAGCTGCCCGGTGGGTAACGGCACGCACGTCTCCCGCCGGTTAGAATCTACTCCAGTAGCAGCCTCGTGCGTCTTTCAGCAAGCCCAGCGCGTGCGAGCACTGAGGAAAACCTCGAAACCTCCTTCTCCTCCTCCTCACCCCCTCCTCACCCAAAACTCAGACTCTCTTTCGCTCTGTCTCTCTCTTTCTCCCTTTCTCCGGGTGTCAAACAAGCGCCACGCACGCGCGTTTACTCCTACGTTGACCCGGAGTGTGACCTCAGAGCAACGTCATCTGACTGAAAGACACGATCTGCTATGACTGTAATGACTGTTTATTTATTTATCTTTTATTATTGAAAATGTCCCAGGTATTTTATATTTTAATCATACATTTTATTTATATTCATTTTTTATTTACATATGAATGTATAGTTTTAGTGTATTTATTCTTCGTTTTATTATTTATCTTTTTGTGCTGTAGTTATATTTTTCCTTATTTACCTTTTTTAAACTTATATTAAATTAAATTAAAGTTAGAATCACATGACTATAATTAATTTTTTTATTATAATTTCATATTTTTTTTGATCTACCTTTATTATTTTAGAATATATCACATAGATTTATTATGTCTTTTATTTCTAATTCCTCTCCAACTCCATAATGCTGTTGTAATTTTATTTCTTCTTCAGGATTCTTGTTCTGATTATTGCTTTTTTTTAAAATCTTTTTAATCTGTGTATGTAATTATTTAATATTGTTTTAATATTTGGGTTTTTTAGGGGGAGTAATCAGATATAATTTATTTATATATATACACATTTATTATTTTCTGAACTTTTAATTTAGAGAGTTATTTTTATGTGGTCTTGAAGCATTTAGTAAAATGTTTTACATAATATTTTTATTTTAATTATAGTTTTTATCCCAACAATCCATTTGCCTTAATTTTGTAAATAATCATGTGTGTGTGTGTGTGTGAGAGAGAGAGAGAGAGAGAGAGAGAGAGAGAGAGGTGTGTGTGTGCGTGTGTGTGAGAGGTGTGTGTGTGTGTGAGGTGTGTGCGTGTTTGTGTGTGAGAGAGGTGTGTGTGTGTGTGCGTGTGTGTGAGAGGTGTGTGTGTGTGTGAGGTGTGTGCGTGTGAGGTGTGTGTGTGTGTAGGTGAGGTGTGTGTGTGAGGTGTGTGCATGTTTGTGTGTGAGGTGTGTGTGTGTGAGGTGTGTGGGTGTGCGTGTGTTTGTGTGTGTGAGGTGTGTGCATGTGCGTGTGAGGTGTGTGTGAGGTGTGTGCGAGTTTGTGTGTGGGTGTGAGGTGTGTGGGCGTGTGTGTGTTTGTGTGTGTTTGTGTGTGGGTGAGGTGTGTGTGTG